CCATGGACAAATGTTTTTTTTTTTTTTTTTTTTTTTTTTTTTTTTTTTTTTAATATATATATATATACAGGTGTATATACATTACCTGTACCAAAGGAGTTGGCAGTTTTATCCACAAAGCAACGTAAACAAGAACCAGTGAGCTTTACGAGCGTAGCTCACTGGTTCTTGTTTACGTTGCTTAGTAGATAAAACTGCTGACTCATGTACAGTTCATAGAGAATATTACATACTAAAATCCATATCATATGTCATATCAGCCTGAGTGGTCCCATATCCTTGATACGGGGCCCGAGGGCTGATATGACATATGATATGGATTTCAGTATGTAGTATTCTATTTATCATATATTTAAAATACTTAATATGCGAGTTCACATAAAATCATTGAAGAATGTTTCGTGCATATTTATGACTTTTTTCTTTAAAATCTAATAAAGCAAGGGGTAGATGAATTTTGTTGTTTGGACACTGAAACAATAGACATTGAATTTTCTGTATTTTTTATGGTTCTTTTTTTTTCTATTTTTTAAGATGCTTGTTCCATGTAAGGAACTCATTAATGACAAGGTGAAGCTAACGAACAGTGACCAATCTCAAACAAATCTACAGAAAGTACAGACCTTTGAACAGGGTATAAAATACGGATCCCCGAACATTTTAGAGATGGGATCAGGTGCCCAGGAGGAGTAAGCATCCCCAGTTGACCGGTCTGCTGAGCTCCATGTATTGATCAGGTAGACGGAACATTCCGTAGTCCAATTAAGTATAAAAAAATAAAGGCCTTACAATCGGTATGAACATTAAAATGTATGAAATGCTAACTTTAAATGAGGTTTTTGCAATCCTTGTAGTAAAAACAATGGCCTTACAATTGGTATGAAACATGTCAGCCAAATTAAGACCCATTGATAGGATATATTGCTAACAAGGTCATTATGACGACATTAAAATGTATGAAATGCTGACTTTAAATGAGGTTTTTGCAATCCTTGTAGATTCAACGTATCTGTCGGTAGCCTGCCGCGGCTTAAAAATTGATCGTTCTCAGAGCATGCTCTTAAGTATCGAGTAAGATGGAAGACGTACACACCTTATCAGGGGATTAAAGAATGTTACTACATAGATAAGGAAAGTTAATGGAGGAAAAGCTGAAGTCATCATCGTAAATTAAAAATTGTTTATACTAACTAGATTCTTGCGAAAATTTTGCGAAATGAAATGTTTTTGTTGGGTCATGTTTTATTGCTTTTACAGATAAATATTGGTTCGTGGGGATTTGATTTCGTGATGGAAGAAGTGTTGTGTAGTCAGAGATTTTTTATGCCCCCGAATCGAAAGATCCCGGGGGTATATTGTTTTTGTCCTGTCTGTCTGTTTGTCTTTATCTGTTTGTCTGTTTGTCCGTTTGTCTGTTTGTCTGTCTGTCAGTTTTCAACTTTAACCTTGCCCATAACTTTTGATTGGTTGGAGCTATGACTTTCATATTTCACATGTGTATTCCTTGTGACAAGACCTTTCTTTGAGTACCATCATATTTGACCTTTTGACCTTGACCTTGGAGTTTGACCCACTTTTGCAAAATTTTATGAGACTTTAACCTTGGCCATAACTTCTGAACAGTTGGTGCTTGGGGTTTCAAACTTCACATGTGTATTCTTTGTGACAAGGCCTTCCTTTGGATACCAACAACTTTGACCTTGACCTTGGAGTTTGACCTACTTTTGAAAAACTTTAACCTTGGCCATAACTTTTGAACAGTTGGTGCTTAGGGTTTCAAACTTCACATGTGTATTCCTTGTGACAAGACCTTCCTTTGGATACCAACCACTTTGGCCCTTTGACCTTGACCTAGGAGTTTGACCTACTCATGAAAAACTTTAACCTTGGCCATAACTTTTGAATGGTTGGTGCTAGGGCTTTCATACTTCACATATGTAATCCTTGTGTCAAGATCTTTCTTTGGATACCAAGCACTTTGATCTTGACCTTGACGTCTGACTTTTATTTAAAAAACTTTAAACTTCGCCATAACAGTTGTATTTAGGTCTTTCAAATTTCACAGGTGTATTCCTCGAGACAAGACCTTTCTTTGGGTATCAACATTTTTTATCTTTTGGCCTGGATTTTGACTTGCATTTGAAGAAACTTTAACCTTCGCCATAAGCTGCCATACGGGGGCATCAGTGTTTCACAAACACATCTTGTTCATATATATTCTTATGTAAAAATTCGATTCCCCGTTGTGGCCCTTCCCAACCCCCAGGGGGTCATGTTTTGAACACAACTGAATCTACACTGCCCCAGGATACTTCCACCTAGTTTCAGCTTTTCTGGTCCTGTGGTTCTTGAGACAAAGGTTTTTAAAGAATTTTTTTTTAATATTTCGTGACGAATATAAAGTTGTGAATTTTATACCACGAAAACAACTAAAATATAAAACAACCCACCCAAGCATCATCCCCGAAAATTGGTGATTTCACAGGATTTAAATTTTTATTAGGTCACCTGAGTCACTCAGGTGACCTATTGCTATCCGTTTTTGTCCGTCGGCGTGCGTCGTGCGACGTGCGTCGTGCGATGTGCGTTAACATTTGAACATTTTTAGCTTCTTCTCTGAAACCGCTCAACCAATTTCAACTAAATTTGGCATATAGCATCTATGGCTAAAGGGGAACAAAAATTGTGAATTTCATGGTCCCTGCCCCCCTGGGGCCTGAGGGGTGGGGCTAAAACCACCAAAATTAATGCAATCTTTAAAAATCTTCTTCTTTACTCCTGGACATCAAGCAGTCAAACTGTTGGCATCATTGTAATAAGCATTGAGTCCTCTACCAAAATTGTGAAATTCATGGCCCCAGGGTCAGGGGTTCTGGTGCTAGGGCGGGGCTATATAGATCATATAGTGAAAGTGCATTATTTCTTTGAAAATCTTCTTCTCTGCTCCTGGGTATTAAATAAACTAACTAAGTATATAGTTATGATGAGTAAGAGCGACTCTTCCAAAATTGTGAAATTCATGGCCCCAGGGGCAGGGGTTCTGGTGTTAGGGCGGGGCTCTATTGATTATATAGTGAAAATGCATTAGTTCTTTGGAAATCTTCTTCTCTGCTCCTGGGTATTAAATAAACTAACTAAGTATATAGTTATGATGAGTAAGAGTGACTCTTCCAAAATTGTGAAATTCATGGCCACAGGGGCAGGGGTTCCGGTGTTAGGACGGGTCTCTTTTGATTACACAGTGAAAATGCATTAATTCATTGAAAATCTTCTTCTCTGCTCCTGGGTATTAAACAAACTAACTATGTACATAGTTAGGATGAGCAAGAGTGCCTCTTCCAAAATTGTGAATTTCATTGCCCCTGGGTCAGGGGTTCTGGTGTTAGGGTGGGGCTCTATTGATTATATAGTGAAAATGCATTAATTCTTTGAAAATCTTCTTCTCTACTCCTGGGTATTATTGAAACACATAAAATACATAGTTATGATAATCAAGGATGCCTCTTTCAAAATTGTGAAATTCGTGGCCCCTGGATCAGGGGTTCTGGTGTTAGGGCGGGGCTCTATTGATTATAAAGTGAAAACGTTTTAATTCTTTAAAAATCTTTTTCTCTGCACCTGGGTATTAATTAAACAAACTAAGTACATTGTTATGATAAGCAAGGATGCCTCTTCCAAAATTGTGAAATTCATGGCCACGGGGACAGGAGTTCTGATGCTAGGGCAGGGCTATATAGATCCTATAGTGAAGGTGAATTATTTCTTTGAAAATCTTCTTCTCTGCCCCTGGGTATTGCTTAAACAGACTAAAGTACATTGTTATGATACACAAGGTTGCCTCTTCCAAAATTGTGAATTTTATGACCCCAGGTTTAAGGGTTCTGATGAAGAGGGGGGGGGGGGGGCTGCTATTGATTATAAAGTGAAAAAGCAAAATTTCTTCGAAAATATTCTTTTCTTCTTCTGGTTAAAAAAGCAAAGAAGCTAAGTGTATAGTTATGATGAGCAAGAGTGCTTCTTCCAGAGTAGTGAATTTCATGACCCCTGGGTCAGATGTGCTGGTGTGAGGGCGGGGCTCTTGATAATTTAGTGAAAATGCATTAATTAAATAATCCTGTTTGCTCCTAAGTGTTAAGTAGATAAACAAAGTGATTAGTTATGATGAGCAAACATATGGTTCCAGGGTCAGAACCTCTGGTGTTTTGGGGGGTGGGGGGGTTGGGGTTGGGGGCTCTATTGATAATATAGTGAATCTGTAGTAAAAATGCATTATTTATTTAAAAATCTTCTCCGCACCTGGGCATATCTGAGGCAAACAGAGTTTTTATAAGGAAGGGAATTTTTACCAGATTTTTGAACATCTGGACCATTTGGTCAAGTGTTCTGGTCCTGGCCAGGGCTCTATTAGTTTGTATTCTACTGAGAGGAGTTATTCCCCTTTCCCATTAATTTTGATAATTTGTCACTGTAAATAATGTACTTGAAAGGTAAATAGAATAAGAGAATTATGCAAAAACTTTTCTTGTATAATACAAAAAGTACTTTCATAGTTTTAATGATCAGATAGACTTGTAAGTAGTAGATAAATAAAAAATGAGACAAAAACTTGTCTTATTAAATATTCATCAAAGACCAAGAGATGCCAATGTAAGAGATTTCAACAAAGGATTAAAATAGTACAGAAGCATTGATAATTTGTTAATATACTTTATAGTGATAGTGATAAATGGGGAACAGATTAGAACCTAATTTATGAACTGTTAATAAATATTAAGACCAATTATTTTGTTGATCATGATCACCCTATTTTTCTTGCTTTTGTGCAACAAAGCTTCACCTTTCAGTTCATTTTATACTCTATGCATCCTTTAAATTGTTGTATCATACTCAGGTGACCGTTAAAGCCCTTGGGCCTCTTGTTCCATATGTAATTTTATAAATATTTCATTTTCAGCATCTCACCAGACGAACCACAATTGATGATATTCTTGGGAGAACATTACCTGCAATAGATGTTTTTTTCCAATTCAATCAAGTACCTGAAAAACCACTTTTTGAAAACTTTGGGAGATAGATTGCCCGATGCATCAATTGAAGATGTGTTGTTCGTTCTGACGGTACCTGCAATTTGGAGAGACTCGGCAAAGGAAATCATGAGAGAGGCAGCAATAAATGTTATTACATTTATCTAATTATAAATATTTTTGTAGTATATGGTAACGATATTAGTAAATGAAAAGGGCCTATAGTTTTCCCAATCTGAAGAATGAATTTCTTGATTGATACTAAATGACCAAAGCATTAAAGTTATTTTCTTTTAAAGCAACATGTAATGCGAATTCAAGTAAGTTAAGGTCATGCTCTGGATGAGGCCAATCAAGGAGGTCAATTTTTTATTGATAAAAATATATTTTGGTTTAAAACACTTTTAAAAAATGTTCAAAAGAAAAGAGCGGTCGAGAGGAATTAGGTAAGCCTTGTGGCCTATAAACCTTAAGTATTCTTAAAAACAAGATTTTAGTGTCTTGGTTTTTTGGTAATGTTTTGTCTTTTTTACGAACTAAAAGCTCCTTCTGAAGACAAATATATCGTGTTTAAAGTATACAACCCTTCAAACTTTTGTAAATGTGATTGCCAAACATATAAACGAATGAGGGTTATTCAATAGCAATATATCTTCTTTTTTTTTATTTCGTGGAGGCTATTTTTAGGGATATTTTGAGGTTCCTTAGTCTGGATCCCTAGTTCATCAAGAGCTGCGGAGTATACAAAGCATAACAGGGAACCAGTTCTCCAACTAAAATTTCCCTGCTGATTTTTAAATATATAGTTTTCATAAGGAGAAGGTTGTATATCTTTAACAATCCACGAAAATTGACCCTATAAAATGAGATCTGTCCCAATTATAAAATAAAAGATTCCGAAATGTTTTTAAATTTCAAGATCAGTCATGCAAGCTAACAAAAATATGTAAAAGTGAGTATTGCAACTGCTTACAATAATTTTTTATCATTTTTTATACCTGTACACGCTATGATATTTCAATTGGAATTCCACATTTTTCTGTGTAAGATTTGAAGCATATTGAAACGCACCATTTAGCTATGTTCATTTACAATGTTCATCTTTATTAAAGGCCTAAAACTGCAACGCCGATGTGAAAAAATATGGTTGGTCATTAATTTAGTATATGTACTTGTTAAATTAAGCCTTTTGGATGCTTTTTAGATGTATTGTAACTGTAACACTCAGTGATATGAATCAAGCGGCAATGTCAACCATTAATGATATACATTTGTAATTCATATAATTAAGTTTTGCATCTGCAACGCGTTACTATTCTTTTTACGCGTTATATCAATAATAGTTGAAACATTTGTATTTGATGAGACTTGCTCGGAACGCGAATTTGACATGCATATCCGTATGATAATGTAAACCAATTAATGCAGAAAATTTATTTTCAGTACTAGTGAGCATTGATAGGTTCAAACTTGGGCATTTGGTATCATATATTAAGAAAACTAAACAATCATGAAAACCAAAGAAATGACTCTAAGGGATTTGAAATTTTGTTATACTTTTTACTCAATAGGCAGGGATTCCTTCAAGAAGAATAACCCTAGCTTTAGAACCAGAAGCGGCTTCTATTTTGTGTCAAAATATCCCCATTGAAAAGTTGCCCAGTGGAAAAGGATTCACCATTTCTCAAGCAGGGACCCAGTACCTCATTGCTGATATCGGAGGTATAGTTATATAACATTACATGTAGTTAATCCATCCAATTCTTGTCCATGTTTATAATAAAGTTGATCTATAGAAAAATTGTTATGTCATTAAAAGTTCAAGTATTGATATAAGAACAGACAAATCTTACGTTTGTCGTAGTTCATTCTTTTTTAATGTAGAGACCCTTTTGTAAGCTTTTTAAACAGATAATTGTGTTCATTTTTGTCAGGGGTGTAAAGTTTACCAAGCTATATGAAACGTGCTACACATATTGAAATTCTATGTAGAACATCTGAATGAAATATATGGAGATAACGAACATTATTCAAGCTCAAAAGTCCATTAATCAATACAAAATAGGAGCAGAGCAAACACGGACCTCCAAACATCAGAGGTGGGATCAGGTGCCATGGAGGAGTGAGCATCCCCTGCCGACCGGTCACACCCGCCGTGTGCTCCTTGTCATGATCGGGAAATAACGGGAAAATCCGTCGACAATTCAGTGTGTAAATAATGGCCTAACAATTAGTATGAAAAACGTCAGTCAGCATTTGACTCAATGATAAATTGTATTTGCTGACAAGGTCATTGTATCGACCATAGAACTTACGAAATGATGACTTTAGACGAGACAGCTGATATTCTTGTTTCATCAACTTATTTGTCAATAATTTACCTCGTTTTAGAAATTGTACATACGTTTAGCATGCTCTTGCGTATCGAATCAACTGAGAGATATATACCCCGTATGCAGTTGATGAAGGTATATTGCTGCATAAGTAAGGGAAGTTGACGATTGAAAAGTTAAAGTCATCGCGTTTATCATAAAGCTTGGTTGTTAGATTACCATTAACGTCTTTTTCAAGTAAAATATTCAACTATAAAACAGATGTGTCAGACTCTGTGGTATCTTTTATCTCAAGTTCACAAGGATATATCTTATCGACATAAGAATGGAAATAGCCATTGTTAATTGACAATACGTCGTCGATATATCTAAATGTCGAGTTGAACGCCACAGCAAGTGTTTTCTTCTTTTCACGTACAAGATTTTGGACAAATTCTGCTTCATATGAATACAGAAAAGGTCTGCTAATAACGGGGCGCAATTGGTACCCATGGGAATTCCAATAGATTGTTGGAAGACCTGGTCTCCGAAAACTACATAGATATTGTCAATCAGAAACTCAAGCATCTTTTTAATGTCAACTTCAGAGTACTTGTGTGAACAATCAGAATGTTTTTTAACAAAATAATTTTGCAAATGACCAATGACAAGGTGCGTATATTTACGAGTTCCATTTTTATTGAAAAAGCAGCTGTCAATGATATCAAAAAGCCTGGACTTTAATTTATCGTGGGGAATGGTTGTGTACAAAGTTGAAAAGTAAGTTTTTAAGCTGTTGATTTTGGTAAAATCTTGTGATTTCAAATTTTCCAAAAGTTCCTTGGAATTTTTAAGTATCCACATCTGATTTACACCACTTTTCGAATATATTGTTGCACAGTACTCTTGAAGTTTCTCCTTCACCACTGTTAATATCTTAGTGAAAAGTAAAATTACAGATATGTTTTTTTATTGTGTGTATATGTTATCCTTTAAGGTGGAACGGGTGATTTTACTGTCCACGAGAAACAAGAAAACGGCACTCTGAAAGAAATAAGCAAGGCAAGTGGGGGTGCATATGGTGGTATCAATGTTGACAGGAAGTTCTTTCAATTTCTTCAAAAGGTTATTGGTGCAAGAGCATTGCAACAGCTAAAGGACAAGGAGATAGGCGACTATTTAGATTTACTTCGTGATTTCGAAAATAAAAAGAGAACCGTTAATTTTGATGAAGAAAAGTCATACGTTGTAAGGCTGAGTGCATCTTTAAATCAATTTGCAAAGAAGAACAATCCGCATTTTCAAGAACAAATTAAGGATTTGGGGCTTAAAGGAACTGCTGTCTTCTTAAAAGATAAACTAAAATTTGACGGAATTATTATGAAAGGTTTCTTTGAAGATACAATCAATGATATATTAGATCATATAAAAACACTTCTGGAGAAATATCCAAACGTAAATCACATTCTCCTAGTTGGTGGTTATGGTGAATGCTTTCTTCTACAAGAAGCAATACGAAGAAAATTTCGGAATAAGACATTGATTGTTCCACAGGACTGTGGACTTGCAGTAGTTAAAGGTGCTGTCTTATTTGGGCATAACCCCGAGACAATATCTGAAAGAATCTTGAGATATTCGTATTTTTCAAATACAAGAAGAAAATTTGACCCTTGCATTCATGACATTAAAAGAAGAGAAGTTTCTGATTTTGGTGATGAAACCTGTAAAGGCACCGTAACAAAAATTATCACAGCTGGAACAACCATTGTGTCTAAAGGATTAGAGATCGAAAAGGGAATGTCTGCGCTGCGAAAAGACAGTAAACATATATCATACAAGATTTATTATTCAGAGGAAAATGACCTTCTGTACAATGACTCTGAAGACTGCAAACCTTTTGGAACAATCCGAGTACCATTGGCAGGTGATGAGGAAAAAAAGAAAAGATGCAAAGTTGTTTTTACTTTTGGTCTCACTTCTATTCAGCTGAAGGTGAGGAATTCAGCAGGCGAGGAGGTTGAAAGGTCATTTGATCTTCTCGAATGATAGATGGTCTGAGACATTTCAGGTCACGATCTAGTGAATGAGTATAGATAGCCTTTTAGTACCTGATCCATTATGACATTATAATCAATCTCAACTTATTTTCCCGTACTTTATAGCCACCATTAAATTATATGTGTATTTTATGACATTCAATTTGAATTCATTTGAAATGCAATATTGATACATATATTCAATCTGATATTATTTAATAGAAGACTTCAAGAACATACAAATTACCATTTTCTGAGAAACTGTAGGGAATCTAGATACTTTAAATGGAAAAAAATCTCAAATTTACAGCTGATTTTTGTTCTTTTTCATCGACATTGACAGTTTAAAAAACATTATCATGATGTGTGTTCCTAAATATTAGGCCTGATACACCTTATTCAGATATGATATAGTTATAAGGTATCATTAAAAAATCATTTCACAAGTCTCATATTCATTTTTTATGATTTCTTAACCGAAGATTCGAGGACATATAGTATTAGTCTTTCTGTCTGTTTGTCCGCAAAAAAAACCCTAACCCTGACCAAAACAATTGAGCGGTAAGCGCTAGGCTTTCATGTGTGATAATACATTTCTTTGGGAACCAACAGGTTTGCCCTCTTGACCTTAGAAAAAAGAACTTGTTTTGAAAATAAAACTTTAACCTTGGCTATAATTTCTGAACTGTTGGTCCTAGGCCTCTCATATTACAAAAGTGTATTTCTTGTGACATGACTTTTCTATGGATTTCTATGGATTTCAACATTTTCTTTTTCCATTTTGAAATTGTTGTTGGTGTTTCAACTTTTGAAAATCTTTATCATTGTCAAAATTTCTGAACGGCTAGTAATAAACTTTCATATTTCACATATTTATTCCTTAAGACAACTACCTTTCTGGTTATATTCTTTTTGCCTTTTAAAATTGACAGTGGAGGTTCACCTACTTTCGAAAATCTGCCATACGTGAGCATAAGTGTTCACAAACACTTTTTTAAATTTCCATCTTTTATTCGTAAGTAGGTCTATGTTTAAAAAAAAAACATTTTTTTGTCCTGAAGTTTTTATCAATGATTAAAATCCTCTCTATGTATAGGAATTGCAAGTTAAGTTCAGAAAAAATCTTATTGAATACTATATATGATTCTATTTGTCCCTCTTCTGTTACATCACTCTCAAAGGAGGATTTGGAAATAACAGCAGCACAGGGGATGCTTAAATAAAACGAAACATTGATTGGTTTTTCCTACATTTCTACTGTGGCTTTACCTTTCAAATTTGATCTCAGTAGAATTAACGTTATCAATTCGTTCTTATTTCAAAATGGCCCCACGAAATCTTATCGGGTGCTATACGCGTCTTTCAAAACAAACTTTAAAGGATTTTACCATTAACATTGCTACTTAGACAGAGGTCATAAGAAAGATCTAGAAGTTTTTTTTTTTTTTTTTTTTTTTTTTTTTTTTTGTTTTTTTTTTTTTTTTTTTGTTTTTTGTTTTTTTTTTTTTTTTTTTTTGTTTTGTTTTTTTTTTTTTTCAGAAAATCAGATTATCCATTTATTCATTTAAAATAGATACTTTTTGAGTTTAAATATTATTTAAATGGACGAATTTCACGACTTGGAAAAATAAATATGAAAAGGTTCTGAATTGGAAAACTAAGAGAAATAGATAAAATAAAATTATTGCTACAGTGTCAGTGGAATAGATTGTTAACATATTTAAAAATGATAGCTGTAATTTACAACCAGCAAAAATTTGAATGAAAGAGGGCCAAATGGACGTATTTCAGAAGTACTACTGTATAAGTTGAATTATTAGCGATACGCCAATTTAGCAATTTATCCCCAAAATTGATATACATTTTTAGCGAGAAGTATTTTCAAGGATTTTATAATGGCCAAAAAAATAGCTTTAATCATCGATATGGAATAAATTGTAAGCAATATTCAATTTAAGCGATATCAAAACCCTCGCTAATAATGCCAAAGTTAAATCCTCGCTAACAATTCTGCTTATACGGTATATCTTGACCTTGAAAATAGAATATTATATTTTGCCAAAACGGTTTCAAAACTTTTTTTATAACAATTTATGAGTATATGAAATCTCTAATCCAAATTTGATATTGTTTAACATTAATTAAGAAATATATTTTTTAAATATTTCCTTGCAATTCTAATTATTGTATGACACATTCGATTTGAAAGCAATGTTTTCGATCCAAAAGCATTTTTGCATGAATGTGTTTATTCATTATGATGGATAATTCTGTATCCTAATGATTTTAAGATTTCTATATTAGTATAAAATCAAAATGAACACTTAATTATTTTTTTATTTTCTTTTCTTATTTTTATTTTATTCTGTTCATTATTTTTATGTTATCGCTTTTCAAAAGAATGTAGTTGTATGTTCTCTTTGTGGTTTTATAAAAGTACATAGGAACAAGCTAAACCTTGTTATTAGAAGTTCTCCTTAACTATAAAGTAGCAACGAGAGTGTAGATTTGTTTTTCGGGGTCAAGTACAAAAGAAAGACGAAAATAGTCCCATCCACATAATCTGCGGTAAATCGGTTTGATTATTAACAAATGTACATTTATGACTTCAAAATACACAGTAAAAGTAATGATAACCTGTCAACCTGTCAACCAGATTAAAGCACGTTTATTAACAAATGTACTGGCCAAGATTAAGTTTGGGACGCTACAAAATAATAACTAGCCGCAGTACTCTTCTACTAAAATCCTTGGTCCTTTGGTAATAGAGAAAACATGAGATCCATCGTGGTCTCAATAATATTTATTATATTGCATAATGCAGTTTTCATTTAAACAGGTACAATTGATATTGGTTGGTGGGATCTAACTTATAGGCTACTATTATAAAGAGGGGGTGTACAATGGTGGTAGTAGGCTGATCTCCACGGTTAATAACATTGAAATAGGTGTCCAGTGTGTTGTTGGGAGATAATTGCTAAAAGTGTAATATAAACTTTAAAAAAATATACCAAGCCAGGTGAATTTTATGAGGAAATGCAAAATGATAAAAATCAACCTATGTGATTTTTCCCATTTTGCTTTTCCTCATAAAATTCACCTGGCTTGGTATATTTTTTAAAAAGTTTATATTACACTTTAATCACCAAGCTAACATATTCTGAAATTTATTTTCATCTGCAAACCTTTACTGGGTGTGATTTTCCATATTTGTAATTTTGTTGAAGTATTAACTAATGTTTTCCAAGTGTCATTTCTTTTATGGAAGAAAATACAACATGTTATTGAGTAAATGTAATATCAGTTCACTCTGTGCTCCTTTAGAAACATTTTTGAAGAAAAAAATGAAGATTAAACAATTTTTCCATGACTATTTAAGTTGTGTACCTTTGGGGGGAAATATGGCAGTTTTCATTCTCCAAGTCTAAGGAGAAAAGATTCAAAGAATTATCCCCTTATCTAAAACTGTGACATGATATTAAGTCTCCTCCAAAGAAAAAAATTGTTTGTATCATCTGTCCTTAATATGCATCTATAAAGATGACAGACAGGATGTAAACAAGTTGCATGTAAGCAGGTGATTCAAAGTGTTACAGCTAATCTACACACGTAGAACTGCTACGATAATGACAGTTAACTCAAGAAATACATGCAGATTCAAGATGAAGGGTAACTAATTCATGGTATGTAAAAATAAATACAAGCTTTAACATTCCTGACCAATGTTGGCACAACGTTTTGACACACATGAAATAGTATTACAAGTAAAGTCCACCCGCCCTACTATTATTACACAGTAAACCATAGTGAAATTTTAGACGTATGACAGGTCCTTAAAGTACTTTTATGACTTCGAAATACACAGTAATAGTAATGTGAACCTGTCGACCTGTCAACCTTTCAACCAGAGATAAGGGCACATTTATTAACAGATGTACTTTTATGACTTCGAAATACACAGTAATAGTGATGTCAACTTGTCGACCTGTCAACCTGTCGACTTGTCAGATATAATACTACATTTATTAACAAATGTAGTTTTATGATTAGCCATGATATCGAAATACAAGGACTTATAGTATAGTTTCTATACTGCAAATGACCTCAAATTTCAGAAAAGTTGTCAAAATAAATGACATAAACAGGTCGATTCTCAAGTGTTTGGAATGTGTATATTGATTAAACTTACATTGATCATGTTGATCGATGGAGAAACTAAAAAAACAAATCTTATTGATAATAATTTGGAACCTTTAGGTGATCTATGACTGAAGTCCATTTCAAAGTACTAAAGATCTGTCCTTGACCAATTTTCTTCTTCATGATGAATACCAAAAATTTCGAAGACTCCATATTTAGAATTATCGTAACCTTGTTTTCGTTTTTGACATAATTCCCTTCCTGAAGAATTATTTGACCAATCTTTCATAGAAGTTACATAAATGTGCATGTATTGGGATAAAAACCAACAATTTTCCTCTTGATGCTCCATATAATCTACATTGTCTGGATTAATGATCATATAAATGTCTACATAATGGGTCCTAAGTTACTGTAAATCTACTTTGATCAATCTGCCATAGATGAAATTAGTTTGGATCGAACATTTTCTGGACGAATGGTCAGGTAAAAGAATGGGTCAAATTATAAGTTAACAGATATTTTATTCAATTTTTAAATAACCACCCTAATGCATACATGATTTATACTGATTGCTTCCATATGCTGCATATTATTTCGAATATGGTTAAAAGCAAACCAATGGCACTTCCAGAGGTAGAGAGAGAGGGAAGAAAGCATGGTTTGGTAAACATTAACATGTTTGAAATTAAAGACAGAACGCCAATCATACCCTATTCTAAAATCACAACCCTCGTGGAAACATTTTGTTAAGTTCAAGCACAAAAATAAATTATATACGATGTAACAATCTTGGGATCGATAACATCTTATATTTATAAAAAAAAAAACAACCAGCATATTTCGTTCTAAGTAGAGCTCATGCAGCTCTCCCAACCTTGAGAATAGTGTG